TTGTATTTAACCACTCCCCTATTGAAAGGCATTTTTCTTCTTTTTTAATTCCAAACAATGCTCCAGTGACTTTTTGTATGGGTTCACGTGCACATGGGATTCTGGAGATATTTTTCTAGATGTGGAAGATCAAGGTCAAAAGGAACAAACATTTAAATAAAATAGATATCGACAAAGTACCCTCCAAAATCACTGTCCCAATGCCTGTGGACAGTGCCTGCTTCTTCACTAAAATACTGGTGCTGCTAATCTTTTCCATCTTTGTTCATCTGATGCACAAAAAAATGGTATTTCATTTTGTTTCTTTATTAGTGAAACTGGGCATCTTTTCATGTTTGTGGCCATTTGTATTCCTTTATTATTTATTTTTTTGCGGTACACGGGCCTCTCACTGCTGTGGCCTCTCCCGTTGCAGAGCACAGGCTCCGGACGCGCAGCCTCAGCGGCCACGGCTCACAGGTCCAGCCACTCCCCAGCATGTGGGATCTTCCCAGACCGGGACACGAACCCGCTTCCCCTGCATCGGCAGGCGGACTCTCAACCACTGCGCCACCAGGGAAGCCCCCATTTGTATTCCTTAATTGCCTATTCCTGTCATTCACCCCAGCTTCTACTTAGTCTTTAGATTTGGAAGACTGCTTCATATTAGTGAGGTTGGATATGCCATGTTTGTTGGATATTTCCTTCATATTAATGAGGTTGGATATGCCATGTTTGTTAGATATTGTCTCCCAGTTAAAACTTGGTTTTAAATGACTGCATATTTCACCTCAATAGTAATTCCTATTTTGGATATTTCATCCTCCCCCCACCCCCGCCCATTATAAACAACATGATGAACATCTCTTGTGGACCTTCATTTTTTAAATTTTTTTAAGGAAAAGTTGCTAGAAGTGGAATTTATTGGATCAAGGGTATGTATATTAAGGATCTTAATACATATGTACAAAATATCCTCCAGGAAATGGTACCACTTCACACACTCTTTCCGGTAGTGCATCTGTGCCAATTTTCCATATCATTTCTTTTGGCTGCGCCATGCAGCATACGGGATCTTAGTTCCCCCACCCAGGGATCGAATCCATGCCCCCTGCAGTGGAAGCGCGGAGTCATAACCACTGGACCGCCAGGGAATTCCCCCTCTGGTTTTTAGGGAAGAATCCTTCCTTGTCCCTTTTCTTGCTTCTGGTGGTTGCTGGCAATCTCTGGCATTCCTTGGCCTGTGAAAGCTCAACTGCAATCTCTGTTGCTGTCTTCACATGGCCTTCTTAAAAGGGCACCAGTCATTGGATTTAGGGCCCACCCCAACCTTTTACGACCTCATCTTAATTTAACTAATTACATCTGCAAAGACCCTAGCTCCAAATAAGGTCACATTCTGAGGTTCTGGGTGGAAAATATTCAATCCCCTAAAATAAGTAAAACAGGGATTATTTTAATGTTTGGCTCTTATTGAAAGGAAATACACACACAACCAACCTCAACAGCCCAGAAATGCTGATGATAAATAATGGGGCATCTTTTTTTTTTTTTTGGCTGGGCCGCAATGCACGCAGGATCTTCCCCAACCAGGGATCGAACCTGCAACCCCTGCAGTGGGAGCACAGTGCCTTAACCACTGGACCACCAGGGAAGTCCAGTAAAGGGCATTTTAATGTAGAATGGCTTAGGAATACGCTTGCTGCTTGGGCTGAATGTGCCCCGAGACAAGTGATCAACTAAACTCATTCTAACTCTGCTGCCCTGAGCTCGTCATCAGGTGCTCAAGAATAATGTAGAATAACTCTCCGAGAATGCTCCCTGCTTTATTGTTTTTCACCAGCACATTGCCCTCAAATCGTTGGGAACAGTGTAAAGTAAGTGGCAATCTTCAACCCCCAGAGTGTTCCTCTATTAATGCTGAAATCATTCTTAGAATCAGTCTTAGAATGAACCTCTACTTTGGTTCAGGTCTTGATTTGGCCCCCAGAGCTGTACTACCTTTGGCAGGTCATGATTTCTCGAGGGCCTGACTTCATCTTCATTAAGATATGCCTCAGGTAGGGCAAACTGGGCAATTCCTAGGTTCTCTCCTACCCCTGTGTTTCCCGACCTGACTCTTCCCCATTAGTTGCTGGTGGTTGATCCAGCTCCGGCCCAATCATGCCAAGCTCCAGGTGAAATATGGCAGACAGGTGAGTCACTCATCTTCCCAGGCCAGTTACCAAACAGAACTGCTCTTCTCCTGTTCAGCACATCCCAGTGCTCTCCATGGCTGCTCCCAGCCATGTTGCATGTTTTCCAACGTCCCTTACAGCCATCAGAAGATGAGCGGTGGCCCAGAGAGGTACGCCAGCTTACCCAAAGATACTCAGCAAGTTAAAGGCAGAATGGAGACTAAACCTTCAGGCCATGGTTTGTTCCCCCGCTGGATCCACAGAGCTTCCCTAGGGCCAAGCCAGTTAGCTATCCTCTGCCTGACTTAAGAATGGAGTTATTGGTTTAGAAGCCAAAGCTGAAGATAACATCACCAACTCTAGCTCATGGTTTGAAAACTACAATTCTTCTTTGGAAGTTAATGGGAAACCCAAAATAATGGAATCTGCCCTTCAGATATTCGCAGAGGACTTTGAAGTGGTGTCAAATAACTGTTAAGTGAAGATCAGGTAGTTAAAGAGCACCCCATGCAGAAGAAGGTCTCAAGGACAATTTACATTTATTTGTTGATGACTCTGACTAAACATACTTCAAACATAGCAGAAGTTAAAGAGTCTGTCAGGTGACGTCATCTCATGCCAACAGCTAAAGGTGGCCCGTGTAGAGTGACATGAGCTTCATCTTCAAGCTGAGGCCCTGACTCTGGGCAAACAGCTGGTGGGTGGACCTGGTCCTTCTGGCCTGGATTGGGGCCTCCAAGGAGCTACGCCTTGTTCTCATACTTGTGCTTGATGTGTTTCCATAGCTTCTGCATTTTAAAGACAAGAACCACAAACTTAGTTTTGCCTCTCACATTTTATAACTCCTCCCACTGCCCTGGTCTCTAAAACAAACCTGAGAGAAACATGTACCACACGCTGACAGTTTGCAGTGGGCAAACTGGAAGCAGTACTAGGCTTGATGTACATTCCTAACATTTACAGGATGCTCTGATGCTCTCAATCAGGGTGTGAAGTAAGTGGGAAGGCATGATCTCACTTTACAGGAAACAGGTAGAGAGACTGAGGGACCTACCCCCAGAGCATACAATTATTAAGGAACAGAGGCTGGAAAATGTCTCATTTCTTCAACTCCCACGTATTACTCAAGAGGTCCTAAGTGCATGATCCCCAAATACTTCACATTGAGCCATTTTAAAAATTTCCTCAGACCTATGATCATTGGGTCAGGAACTAGCTGTATTCTCATTCCTAAAAGCAACAAAGATGGGTGGGTTATGACAACATCCTGAGATGCCTTCCCCACACATTGGAAACGGCCAGAGGAACTGCCTGAAGATGAACAGTAGCGGCACTTTCATAAGGGCAGAAAGTTGACCTGGGCACAGGCCACATCAGTGGACAGAGCCTGCCTGGGCTGTAGGGCCAGACCGCTTCAAGTTAAAAACAGAGTGAGTGGTGGCACAGGCCTTATTTGTCCAAGACCTTCCCCAGTATGAGCCACAATTTAACGATAGAAAGCAGGCAAGGCATCCAGCACAGTGCCTGGCACACAGTGAGTCTAAAAAGTGTTGTTATGCTCTATCTTATGCTTCCACTTTCTCGTGAGGAATGTAACAAATGACATTTTTTGGGAGTACCACCTACCAGGTACTGTGGCACCTTGCCTGCATCTCATATAATCCTCACAATAATTCCCTGAGATAGTTACTATTATTATCATTTCTATTCCACAGATAAAAGTGAAGCTCAGACAGGTTAAGAAACTCGCCCACCTTAATGTCACAGTTATTAATTGATAAGGCCCAGTATTCCCATCCAGGGCTCTCTGATTTCATACCCACCCTACTCTTAACCATTATTAATACCACCGCTGACAGCATGGAAAGACTTTGGAACTGAAAAGTGCTATCTGAAAAGGCCAGCCACGGTATCTAAAGAGTTGTTCTTTTCACGACCGTCGCCCGCTCAAATCTGCCCTTGAAACCTTCAGACGAGATAGGGGGTCCCGGGTCCAGCCCTGACTTGCCTCTAACTCCCTGGTGATGTAGCCCTAACAAGTCCTTTGCTCTCACTAGGTTAGTCTTCGCTTCTGCAAATGGACAAGTGGGTGTATGGGGCGGAAGACAGCAATACTTAAAACCCCTGCAAAGTGGGATCTATTGACCCCGTTTAACGTTTTAGGATTCACACCGGGCGGAGCGGACAGACGGCAGTCTGCAGACAGAAGACACCCAGGGATCCCCCCCTCCTCGTAAAGGTAGACTGAATCCCGCCCCACCCTCACTCTCACTGTCACCCCTCAGAGGGGCCCAAGGTCAGGATCGGCCTAGGCCCTCACCCCTTCGTTGATGTGTTCGTAGATCGCGTCCGCGCCTTGATCGAAGGCGCGCTCGAAGAACAGGGCGCCCACGGCTATGGTGAGGGCAAAGGTGGAGGTCCTGCGGAACAGCAGGGAGTACAACCTCGCAGTCAACGTCGGGCCCGCCATGTTTGTCCGCTGCCGAACTAGCACCACCGCGCATGCACCGCGACCGAGCTTTCTCTCCAAAGGTCCTCAACTTGTAACGCTTTATGGGATTTGTAGTTCTTCTGGATCTCAGCGCTCGTCGTTTTGAACAATGGAAGTAACTGATGGCTTGCGCGTGATTCAAATCGCCTAAAATCCAGATCACGGCAGCCCAAATAGTTGGCAAAATGTATTACCGAATTTTTCTCCTCAATCATTTCTTGCTGATTGAATATTTTAAACTACAACACCCAGAAGCCCTCGCGCTTCCTCCGCTTCCTCCTGCACGGTCTCAGCTTTGATTCGCAAAGGTTTCTGGGAAGGGTGGACCGATACCCAAGGAAGGACTACGAATCCCAGCAAGCAGTTCGTGGCGTGAGGGCGCAGGAGGAGGAGCTCAGAGCCGTTGGGCCCCGCGGAGCCAGGTACCTTCTTTGGCGGGACGTCAAGGGCGAGTGTCCTTACCCCCACGGGAGGGCTTGGGCTCTTCCATCTAAGTCCGCGAGCCCCGCGGCGGGCCACACTATTAAACGGAATGCGGAGTGGATAGGGGAGCGAGGCCTGGGTGCCCGGTCCCAGGCTTGTCCCCCGTCCTGTCTCTGTCAGCCCCAAGTCCAGGGTTAGAGTTGGAGCCTGTGGCACAAGTCGGGTCCTGGGAACTGAATCCCTCTGCCCAGCCTCAGGGGAAGTGGCGATTCTGCCCATGCTTCATGTTACCCTCATCCCTGGGCTTCGCAGCTGACAGTCCTGGCTTGGAAGGCAGGAGACCTAGATCCACTCATTCCTTCTTGGGAATAGAAATAGCAAGGACTTAGGAGGACTAGGGCCGTCCAGCACATGTTTTCTAAGTACCTCTGGGCCTTGCGCTGGGGACCCAGCGGTGAACAAGTCCCTGCCTTCATGGAGCGCCCATTCTACTGTGTATGGGTAGATGGGAAGGTGCAGTAATGACAAGTAATGCTTTGAAGAGCTGAAGAAAGGTTGATTGGGGAAGGGGTGGTGGTGGTAATATTTTAGACAAGGTGGGCCCCAGGGCGACACTTAACCCTAGACCTGAGTGAATAGTAGCCGTTCAAACAGGAAAACGTTGGTGCGAAGGCCTTGAGGCTGTTCTATCCTGGGGTGTTTGAGGGGGAAAAAAGTAGAGTGGACTATGAAGTAGGCTCAGGTCAGCTCATATCTGGCCTTGTAACCCGTGGTAAAAAGTCTTAGTTTTTTCTAATTGCACTAGGAAGCCAATGAAGTGTTTTAAGCTGCGGTGTGACATGATCTAATTTACATTTTAATGTCATCATTTCTGGCTGCTCTGGAGAACAGACTGAAGAGGGGAAGTTGCTGTGGTGGGTCAATTGAGGCAGGGTGGTAATTTAGATTAGGGTGTGGATTAGAGTAGTGATCAGATTTGGGATGTATTTTTGGAGGTGGGACAAACAGAACAAGCTGACAGATGCATGTAAGGGCTTACAGGAAAGTGGACTCGAGAATGGCATCAAAGTTTTGACCTCAGCAACTTAAAATCAACAGGATGGTCTTAAGTTCTGTTTGGCCACATTAAGTTTGAGCTGCCCCTTAGGCATCAAATGGAGGGGTCCAGAGGCTAATTGGGATTTGGATCTGGAGTTCAGAGGAGAGGCCTGAGCCAGAGATAAAAGTCATTGGCGTACGTGTGGCATTGAAAACCAGGGACTGGATTCGAGACCCGGATCTGCCTGTGACTTGTAAAAGCAACAGTAATGCCTTGTTTGGGGACTGGTAGGAAAAACGTGAAATGCTCTATATCCACCATGCGGTTATTTTCTATTTGCAAAGCGTCCTGGTAGCCCTTTCGGGCAGGAAGTTGTGAAGCTTCTGGGAAAGAATACTTATATCTTGCTGACAACTTCCCAGATGAGTTCAGAGGAGGGAGGAATTATTTTAGGTGAGATGGGTAGGGAAGACCACAGGGAGTTAAGGTGGGCTTGTTTTATTTTTTTGCCTTTTTAGTTCATTCTCATTTTGGAGCAACAATTTTTTAAAAATCTAATTTTCTTTAGGCCATCGATTTCAACTTAGAAATTATTATTCTATACATAAATCTAGAAAAATTAGAAAAATGACCTTAACTTTCCCTTTGATTAATGTTTGAACTCAACTTGAACAAACTAAATTCCTTTAAACATTCAGCCCTATCTTCAGCTCAGTTACATTCCCTTACACATTTAAGTCCACTTATACATTTAATATATTTGATTTTCTTTTTAAGTACTTCAGATATATAACCTAACAAGCATAATTTCCCCAGAATACTCAAACAGTTACTAGAAAATCTAATAAATTAACCTTATAAATGTAATAAATTTTAATACTTTTCAATACTTCTAACAAACTTAGTCAAATTCTGTTTTGTCAACTTGTTCTCAGTCAGGGGATTCAAAAAATACAGGCTCCATCTCTGACAAGAAATTAGGATATGGCGGGCACCCTTAGTAGCTTTTATAGCACCTCAGTGATTTTAACGTGCAGCCAGTGTTTCCAACCATTGCTGACCCCTCAACTTAGAATCACAAGTTTCATATCAATTACTGACAGATACTTTATCAATTACCTAACTACATATTTTAACGTTTATATTTTAAACTGGAATCACAGTGCTTTTCTGTTATATACTCAACATGTCAAATTCTTTTCAATGTGATACTTTTAAGCACCAGGTAGACACTGATTATTAATAATCTTAGGACAGGAACATTAGTACAATAATTGATTTAGTCTACTACCTCTGTTTTCAATTTTAAGCTTTCCTGGAGTGTGACAGGACGCTTAGCCAGTAAGAAAACACTTTTATCCACTCTAACAAATTGTGCTTAGCATTCTCATCAAGTCGGGGTTACCATTTCAGCTTACTGAGGTGGTTCATAGTCCAACCAGTTTCTGACTGGGACACAGATTTGCGGGCTGTGTCTACCCAGAGTGACTGCCTTCAGCAAAGGCTGCCTTTGGGATGCAGGGGATGAAGAGGTCAGTGAACAGTGGAAGCTCAGTTCTCCAGGCTTTTATTTCTTGGGGGTACCTACTGGGGGTGGCTAGAGTCCCTGGTTAAAATGCAAATTTCTGAGCCCCTCTCCAGATCTGCTGAGCCAGAATTCCTGAGGATCTGATTCAGGAGACTTCATTTTTAATAAGCTCCTCACCAGGAGCAATGGAAAATTTTGAGGAGTTGTTTTGAGAGGGTTGATCTGATGCTGCCAAGGGTGGGCTGAACTAACGAGGCTGGTCCAGATGTGAAGGGGTGAGACCTGACTTGGGCAGTGGTAACAGAGAGTCACATGGTATTTGGAGCCCAGACTTGGTGGTGGGGAGAGAAGGGAAAGGCAGAGGTGTTTATATGAGTCAGGGTATATGGTTCAAGAGCCTCTTTCAGACTATTTTTGCCTTTCCTATTTGGAAACTCTGGCCTCTTGGGACCTCTAACTATCTGGTGAGAAACTGTCTCCATCCTGAAGCTCCTGGAGCCCAGATTTGGGTTCAGCTGACCTTCACTGGGCCAGGTCCACTTGGAATCAGGGCTTGTCCTATCAACCGTCAGCCTGGACTGAGGAAAATGTTTACGCTAGATCCCTTTCAACACCACCCCCGGCCGGTTCATCCAGGTGAACCGGGTCACTGGAACCATCCATGGAAGCCTCCTAAGGAAGAAGGAATAGGGTTTATCCCTGCCTGACAAATTTCCCACTTTTTTGAAGGGAATTTTTTGGGAAAATTTTAAAACTATACACGCCAAAAATAGAAACTTAGAAAAACAGAAAAACACAAAATGAAAAAAAGAAAATCCCGCACATCATAATTTTATTCTCTAGACATAACTACAGTAAATATTTTGTGTCTTCTCCAGTCTGTATGTGTGTCTGTGTGTATATGTGTGTGTTGAGGTGGGAAGTTCTTTCTCCTTAAAAAAGTGGTATCATGTTGTACATACTGTTGTGACAATGAGTCATTTTTCATTTACAATATGGGATGAACATTTTATCCCTGTAGGGAATTGTTCCCTTTGACTGATTCTTCTTTAACTGAAGTATAGTTGATGTATTACTTTGACTTGATTTTTTTTTTTTTGCGGTATGTGGGCCTCTCACTGTTGTGGCCTCTCCCATTGTGGAGCACAGGCTCCGGACGCGCAGGCTCAGCGGCCATGGCTCACGGGCCTAGCCGCTCCGCGGCATGTGGGACCTTCCCGGACCGGGGCACGAACCCGTGTCCCCTGCATCAGCAGGCGGACTCTCAACCACTGCGCCACCAGGGAAGCCCTGACTTGATTTTTAATGGCACCATTGAATAGGTTTGCTCACACCCTACTCTTGCTCCTTGCCAGTTGTGGGCTCCCTCTACCCAAAGTTATTTTTAGGGTAAAATGAGGATGGTAGGCTTTGTGCATCATCATTGAACCCCTTCCCCCTCTCTACACAGGACCCTGAGCGGTCTGCCTGGCATGTGGTGAGCAATGGATAACTGTCAGCTCTTTTTACTCTTGGACATTTGGAGTTTGGTTTCAGGACAAGCTACATTGCAGTGCTCACCTTGGTACCTAGATCTTAGAGATGATCTCTGATCATTTCCTTGGAGGAAGTCCCTGTTGGATGCAGGCGCCCCTCTTTGGGACCCCCAGCACAGAGCTTGTTACCTATGACTGTTACTGGGGGCACATCTGTCGGCCACCCATCCCCAGCACATACTCAGCTCACGTTCTCGTGAGAGCATGGACTCTGTGTCATGAAGCGTGAACCGCACTCTGGCAGAGAGGAAGTGCTTAGTGTGTTTGGCTGGTGAATGAATGACTGAAAAGGGAACCATGGAACTTTAGAGTTGTGCATATGCAAGTGGGAGGGGGGCCCTCCTTTGACTTGACTCAGGAGAGTTTTGCATTGTGGGGCACTTTGTACCTGTGGCCATCACAAATTATAAAGTGATTTAGTTTCTCCATTCATTTATTTCACTGTATTAGTTAGCTGTTGCCGTATAACAAATTACCCTAGAATTTAGTGACTTACCACAACAAACATTATCTGATACGGTTTCCAATGGTCGGGAATTTGGGAGTGGCGTAGCTGGGTGGTTCTGGCTCAGAGTCTCCCACAAGGTTGCTGTCAAGCTGCCAGCCAGGGCTGCCCTCCTCTGAAGGCTTGACTGGGGCTGGACGGTCTGCTTTCAAGCCCACTCACTTGGCTGTTAGCAGGAGGTCTCAGTTCCTTGCCATGTGGGCCTCCCTACTGGGCTGCTCACAGTATGGTAGCTGGCTTCCCCCCAGAACAAGTGATCAGAGAAAGGGAGACACCAGGATGGAAGCCACGTTGTCTTATAACCTGATCTTGGGGGTGACATACCATCCCTCGGCTCTCTTCTCTTAGTCACAGAGACCAACCCTGATATGCTTTGGAACGGGAGACACAAA